ATGATTCCAAAAAGTAGTTGCATCTTAACATTGTTGCCAGTAACATAAGAGTAATACACCCATAAGAATAAATATTTTTACAAACAATTCCATGTAGTTCTGTTAGTTTCTATAGATTTAATTTTTAAACAGAATGAGCCTATGAATGATCGATTATGCCAACACAAATCCTCACATGTATCTGGTTAAGGGTACTTACTGTCAGTTTTTTTATCTAATTGAAAATAGAAAATAAAACAAGGGAAATTGTTCACAGTACTTTAAATTTTCCTCCAACCATTCCCTCCTCCACTGGCCACAAACTAACCTTCTGCAGTTCAGCCCCTAGAAATCAGTCATATTCTTAAACATGTTGCCTGCTTTCTTACCTACATACTCTGACAAACATATCTGCTTAGAATTTTCTTCTCTAGAAACCTTTTTTGAAGCTATATAGGGAACTCCTTGCCCTTCAGATCTGGGCAAAATATTCGATCATGTTGGATTCCATGTCCCTCCCCCATTGTCTCCCAACATTTCATTATTTTTAGTAATTTTGTTAAAGATATGCAGGCTGATGACAGACAGATGGAGGGATACGTCAAACCTTCAAAAAAGGTTTTTGACTGACTGGACAAAAAGCTATCTCTTTTTGGTCGTCAAATGTTTTTCCCTTCCCCAAAGTCTCCTCTGGTTTATCAGATCCAAAGTAATTGCTATCTAATCTATACTATATTACACTAGTTATGCATACTTTAAAAATTGTCTTTTTTCATAATTTATAATGTATATGTCTTCTCTCCTTTATTATAAATTCCACTAGTCCAGATAATATTTTAACAGTTCTATGTCTATAAGGTGCAGATAATAATGCCTATATTATTATCTGCACCTTAAGAAAATTAAAAATATCAAAAGGCCATGTAGATTCATGTGTTTTATAAACTGCAGAGTGTTCTCCAAGTGTGGGTTAGGTTATTATTAATATAATTGAAGGATAAATCAGATGCACCAAAATTTCCATTATGAAGTGAACTGTATCTGCTTAAAAAAGGGCTGAGTGTGCAAGATACAATGCCAACAAGGCCTAAGGATAGAATTGATCCAAGAAAAATGGAGGAAAAATTGCTAGTTACTCTGGAGAAGGAGGGAAGAGAAAGAGCGAGGAAGTAGATTCTGTGAGATGTCAAAAAATTGAATATTTGTTGACATAATCCCTCCATCTGCCTGTCATCAGCCTGCATATCTTTAACAAAATTACTAAAAATAATGAAATATTGGGAGATAATGGAGGAGAGGCATGGAATCCAACATGATCGAATATTTTGCCCAGATCTGAAGGGCAAGGAGTTCCCTGTATAGCTTTCTGGTTACTTGACTGTAAGCTTTAATAGTGGTCACAATAGTAGTGATACTTGCCCAAAAATAAGCTCAGTGCTATCCATATAGCAGATTCACATTTTGTTAAATAAAGAATATACACTTAGAAATATGGACACATTCTTGAACAAAGTGTTTCACTAGGGCATTAATTTTCCAATCTTCATAAAAGTGTAATTCTTCACAATGGAATTCTTGCAGGTCCCCATTCTATAAAAAGTTACAGATAATGAAACTCAGATTTAATCCTGAGGGATTAAATCTTTATACTTTGATGGAAATGATTTATTGTTTTTGTAGTAGGGTGTGATACTGAAGTTTCAACAAAAGCATCACTATAAGACATATCAGATACCACTGTGAATGTGGGATGATTCTCATGTGAAAAATTTATAAGAGATAGTTGAGGCATGAATTCATAAATCTTGGACCTTTCAGAAGGATCAAGGATATAAGTCAAGTTAGAAAGTAGAGAAACAAGAAGGATTTGTAAGGCTTTCCTTAGAAAGAGCTGTTGAACTGCAGAGTCCTAACCAATAAAGGTAGGGGTTATGGGGAGATGCAGTACTGGTGAGAGAGATGCTAAAATTTAACCCAATCACAGCAAGAGGGAGCTTTGGAAGAGCTTTCCATGTGGTCCATGCAATCCTGATATGACTCTAAAGTAGCTATCCTATGACAGCAGGATAAAGTGACATCATTGGAATCCCCCTACAACTTCTCAGTCTTGCAAGCAAAATGGTTATTTGTACATACAAAAGTCTTTGATGCAAATATAGACTGCTCATGAGAAAGAGACCTGGGCCATAGTCCTTTAAAATCTTATCCCAAGTCAATAAGAACACAAAAAGAACAGCAATTGGAGTAAACCACCAGAGAATCAGGTGCTTAGAGTGTGTGGCAGCCTGAGAAATAATGATACCTATGTTTCAAGAGTTGACAATAACTGGAAGTTGTGAAGAATCCACTGAAGTACCAAGAAAGAGTCTGTTCTAACCATTGTCCAAGGCCCAGAGAATTTGAAGTAGCCCAGTTAAAGTAAGGTCTGCTTTATCCCTTCACCTCTCAGTCTCGCATCTCCCAAACCAGAGGCCCAAAAGAGCAAAAGTTACTTGCTTGTGAAGGAAGTAAGTGAGAGAAAAGAAACAAGCCCTGAAGGTAGCCTGCAACCCAAGCACATATCCAAGGAAAGGAGAGGAGGACTTTTAATGGAAGATTGAAGAAGACTGATTAATATCTTGAATGGAATACTGAACAGTTACAAATAAAACAAACAGAACAGAGTTAGTGCTTTGTGACTCATGATCTTATGACTACCAGTTACCTAAGAATGAGCAGAAAAATTACAGGATATGTCAAATTTCCCACCTAAAGACAAAGAGAAATAACTCTCCCATGGATGAAATGTAAATTGGACGGAGTTGGTTAAAAAAAAAAAAAAATGTATTACACCCTGAGAGTTCTAGATTCACTATACCTGTTATATTTATAAAAACCCTAGAGCGTATCTTTAAAGCCTCTAGAAGATTAGAATCCAGAATATTAGAGTTTCAGTTTAGGCTATTTAACAGTCATTTATTCTAGAACCATTTGTAAAGCATCCCTACTTTGGGCTGAACACTGGACTGGAAGCTGTCTCCCACGTTACGTCCATTATCCTCACAGCAATACTCACTCTCCAGTAATATAAAAGGCCAAGGCCCGTTCACATTCTCAATATCACTTAATCCCCCCAAACACATTGCAATATGGTCAGGACAGGATTATTATCTCCATTGTGCTCCAAGGAAAATAAAGCTAGAGGCATTAGACAGCTTACCAAAGACAACAGCACTAGTGAGCTATGCAGCTACCCCTCCTCATCACAGAACCTGACTGTCTCCTGAGCTCTGTTCAATACAGCTATCACGCTCAACTTTTTCATCTGGCACTTCACATGCTTTTCTCAGAGATTCTGTGTAATATATGTTTATAGCTGACTGCATTTATTTTATTCTATCTTGATAAATCTTCATATGTAAATTTCAACCATTTTTATATTAGTGGCCTTCGTGGTTAACATTAGTGCATAACTTTGGGCCTTCATCTACAAGGCAATGTGATTTAAAAAAAAAAAGTTTGGAGACTATTTTTTCTTTGTTTACAGCAATGTTCTCTTACATTTTTTTTCTAACCCAAATTTAAAAATTACTTCAAAGAGTTCCTTTACAAGAAAGTAGGCATCTAACACAACGCAAATTTTTAGAAAGTAATCATTTTAATTCTAGGATCTGTCAGTCACTGTTGAGCTAGTAAACTCTTCATGTCTGCATTGCCAGTATATTTCCTGAAATAGGTGTAGTGTATTAATCTGCTTGGGCTGCCACCACAGAATGCCACAGAAGAGTGGCTTAAACAACAGAAATTTATTTTCTCACAATTCTAGAGGCTGGAAGTCCAAGAACTTGAAAGTCATCACTCCCATCCTCACAACAAGGAAAATTCTGAACAAACTGAAAATCAACAACCTTATTAGATCTATCAGAGAATTAAGGCCACAGGAAAAACTGCTGTCACCAAAACTGAAGATAGAGAGGCAGATACAGAGATTCACAACTTAACAAATCAGAAGCCCAGGAGGAGAAGTGCACAGCAAAAGCCATATTGGTGGGAAGATTTTAAATTATAATTGACAAATTACTAGAGGATCAGTATGGAATAGTTGGAGAATTAAAAACTCGGAGGGGGCCCAGTTTTAGGGGTCCCCAACACTTTTGTGAATTTTACCTCTAGTAGCTCTATCATTTATTCAGTGAGTATAGCTTATAGGTAAGTGAAATGAATGACAGAAATTTTATAAGTGACAGGAGGAAGAAATTAGGGATACTGTAGTATAAGGTACTTGTACTATCTGTGAGGCATGTGAAAGAAAAATAGAATCTTGGGGCCACAAACTCACATGCCAAAAGGAAAGTTAACCATGAGAACTGAGCCACCAACACTATTTCCCTTTTGTTTTCAAACATGTAGCTGTAATTTCACAGTCCCATGTCACCGCCTCATTTCCTCTACTCCCTCTTTTTACATGCTTACTTTCTCTTATATAAAATGTAGATTTACTAAGTGCAAGAAAATGCATAATTGACACGCTTCTTTTTTCTCATATAAAATGTAGATTCACTGAAGCTCATCAGAGCCTCACTATAATGTAACCATCTGCCTCACAGCCTATACTCCCCTCCCTTTTGTCTCCCTTCTGCTTGCTCTTTTCCCTTTAAATACAAAAGTTCACAAAACCCTCTTTGGAAAAAACATAGATCACAGACAGATGCTCTTGTGATTTGAGTTTTGTCCTGGGCTTCCTCAACCTTGGTTAAATAAACCTCTAATTGATTGAGATACCTGCCTCAGTCAACTTTTTTTTTTCTTTTTTTTTTGAGACAAGTCTCCCTCTGTCGCCCAGGCTGGAGTCCAGGGGTGCGATCTCGACTCACTGCAACCTCCACCTCCTGGGTTCAAGCAATTCTCTGCCTTAGCTTCCCGAGTAGCTGGGATTACAGGCACCTGCCACCATGCCTGGCTAATTTTTTTGTATTTTTAGTAGACACGGGGTTTCACCATCTTGGCCAGACTGGTCTTGAACTCCTGATCTCATGATCCACCGCCTCAGCCTCCCAAAGTGCTGAGATTACAGGCATGAGCCACTGCGCCCAGCCCTCAATCACTTTTTGGTTTACAGGGAGTATAATGTTATTTGAAAGTGGGTTTTGATTGGTCATTAATGGATATTGCAAACTCTACGATAACCACTAAAAAATATTTTTTAAAAGGGAATTATAATATGTTAAGAAAGGAAATAAATGAAATCATGTAAAATGCTTAAAATCAAAGAAGGAAGAATATGAGTAAAAGTAATAAAAGGACAACAAATAGAAAATACATACAAATATGGTAGACATTATTTCAACTAGATCAATAATCACTTTAAATGCAAATGTTCAAATATACCAATTAAATGATGGAGATTGTCAGAGTAGATTTTTTTTAAAAAAGACTCAACTATATGTTGTCTAAAGGAAACTCATTTTAAAGATCCAGACAGATTAAAAGTAGAGACGAAAAAAGATATATCATGCTAACCCTGACCAAATAAAGCTGAATGACATATATTAATTTTGGACAAAGCAAAGTAAGTATGATAATGTTACAGACTTTCATAGACAGAATATTTAGAATCCTAATCTTGAAAAAGAAAATTATTGTGGGTTTTATATAAAGATTTTTCTCCTAATCCTACTTTGTCCGAATAGAATTATTTTTGTCTGCTTATTTTGAAGTACTTTTTAGATCTCAAGTTCCAATATAGAAGTCCCGGAGGGTATATACTGATTCCCCAGGATATGGCATGATTCAGTTTTTAAACTAGTCAGGTTTATGACTTCAGGAAATTTTCCAAAGCACTCCAATCCTTGTCCTACCTAGTAAGTAGCTAATCCAGGATCAACAAGAAGGAATGAGGATCATACTGCTACCAGGGAGTAGCCATCACATGGCTAGAGTTCCATTCCCCAGAATCTGAAGTTGGCTCTAAGCTTTTAATCTGAGTACCTCGATTAGTCACATTCAGCTGATGTACAGAAAGTATCAGCTGGTTACAGATAAGTCAGATCAAGGATGGATCCAGGTTTTGTAGGGCCTAAAAGCTTTCACAATCTTGAAGGCCCTCTCTAAGAAAAGTAACACGAAATTTCAAATATAAAACTACGGTACAAAAATAAATCAGAAAAGGATCATAAATACAAATTTTTAAAAGCTGGCAGATGCCACAAACATGACAAATATTCAGAAAATAGCATAACATTTTCACTAATTAACTTTGTGACAAATATCTATGATATTTTCTTCACATTTTTGACTACTCATACTTAGATCACCTCTTCAAATAGAGTCAAGCATCTCATAACATTTAAATCAACCAGGGACCATGTATATGATGGTGATCCCATAAGATTATAACATCATTTTCACTGTATCTTTTCTAGGCTTAGATATGTTTAGATACACAAATACCATTTTGTTACAATTGCCTACAGTATTCAATACAATAATATGATGTACAGATTTACAACCTAGGAGCAACAGGTTACACCATATAGCCTAGATGTATAGTAGCTATATCATCTAAGTTTGTGGAAGCATACTCTATGATGTCCTCACAACAAAGAAATTGCCCAATGACACATTTCTGAGAATGCATCACTGTTGTTAAGCAATGCATGATTATAATAATTCTATAAAAATAATTTTCTATTAAGAAGATTTTAAATATCTCATTCAGCTTTAGTTGTTTAAGTTTGCCTTTTATTATCAATAGTTTAGAAAAGGTTCAGCATCACAACTCAATATTGGTCGACGTCACATATATATTTAGGATTGCCAAAGATAGAAAAACCTTCCTTTTATGTTCATTCTTGTGTGTATGTGTGTGTGTGTGTGTGTGTGTGTGTGTGTGTGTGTGTGTGTTTTAATTTTATTTCAATAGTTTTTGATGTACAGGTAGTTTTTGGTTACATGGATAATTTCTTTAGTGGTGATTTCTGAGATTTTTAGTGCACCCGTCACCTGAGCAGTATACACTGTACCCAAAATACAGTCTTTTATCCCTCACCCCCACATCTTCCCCCCAAGTTCCCAAAGTCTACAGTATCATTTTTATGCCTTTAAAATATCCAACTTACACATTTTTTCTCATGTTTTTGTTTTCCTATGTATAATCCCTCCAAACTCTTCCCTGTGGAGTCTTAAAATCCCCCCTAGTCTTCTTCACACTCTACTTTAGTAGAGCAGAGCAATGAGTTTTGTTTTTTTAAAATGCAGACTGTTGATTTCCAACTAAGGTTGGGGGGAAAATGAAAACAATGGAAATAAAAGGTGAAGGAATCCCTCAGGTGAGTCACACAAAGCTATTTATATATTTTTTCAACTTCATGTCTAAGAATTGGCTGAAAAGTGACAATTCAGAATGGTTGAGTGAGAAGGAATGAAAAAAATCACAATTCTGTGGCATGACTCAGGCTCCACACTCCGCCGGTCAATGATTTACAGAATTAGATAGCAACTCAGAGAGGGAGAAATTAGCCAAGGCTGGCACTGAAAAAGGCAAGACTGCACAGCAAAAGAAAACAGGACAGATAAGACCAATGAAGTAGGAGAATTTCCAGGGATAGCTACAGATCACGACTCCACACTTGGTCACTGCACAGATCCTGGATGAACCACAGGAAGGAAGGGGACAGAAAAAGGCCCAGTTGGAACCCTCTATGGTGTGAATCAACAGGGAGAAACTCCAGGCGCAAGAGTTAAGGCCCTAACTCTCATCTGAAGATGATGCTTTTGTGGAAAAAGAGGCAGCAAAGCAAGAAAACAATCTCCTCTCACGAATGACTACATTAGCATGCTGACATAAGAACAAATACCCTTGCCACAAAAAAATAAACTACAGTGGTGCCTCAGTTCCACAGGGATTGGTTTCAGGAACCCCCTTAGACACCAATATCTACAGATGCTGAAGTCCTTGATATAAAGTGGCATAGTATTTGCACATAACCTATGCACATCCTACTATAAATCATCTCTAGATTATTAGTAATACCTAATACAATGTAAATACTACATAAATAGTTGTTATACTATATTTTTATTTATATTATTTTTATCTATTTTTTACTGTGTTTTTTATATCATTTTTGTTTTATCATTTCCTACCCTCCCACCTCAGAATATTTTTTATTCTTTGTTGGTTGAATCCGCTGATGCAGAACCCATGGATACAGAGGCCAAGTGTAACCAAAATTCAACCAAAAAATGCCCACCATTTCAGTGCTTTTTTTTTTTTTTAAGATTGAAAGATAAATTCACCTTCCCCAACCTCTGTTTTAAAAAAATACTTTATAGCCTTAAGGAGCTCTGAACTTATATATACACCAGAGATTCCCCATAGATACACAATCTATAATTTACATAGTTTACGAGATAAAAGATATTTAATAGTTAGAAAGGCAAGAAAAGAAAGGCAAGATTTAAATGTAGCGGTAACAAATGTTTTTTGTGGTAATAAATGCTTCTTTCTTCCCCCCAAGCTTTGTGGAAGTGTGGAGATTCACACTCAAAATGAAGAATTGAAGAATTGTTTTGTGAAATAATTTGCAGAGGCTCAATCAAGAGAAATGAAATTACTTAAAGAGCAATTTCAACACAATGAAAGCCTGCTAGGGAGGTATATTCAGGTTTCTTAGTCACCAAATGCCACGCTGACCCAGATTCAGGGCAGAGTGAGCACCAAGAATTTTGAAAGCTGATCGAATGGATAGTCTATTTTAATTTTTTTAAGCTGCCATTTCTCAAAAAAAAAAAAAAAAAGGGCCCCAGGGCATGCAAAGAGTAATACTGATCATTAAAATATTTAAATTCACCAACAGTAGTGGTTAATAAAACATCAAAATGAAAGTTTACAAAAAGTAGTCTCAACTTGTCTAAAGTAGCACACTCACCCAGCCAACTCATTCTTCTGAACCTCTTTCACTTCTCGCCCTCCAAACTTCAGGGCAACACAGTTCTCCCAGAGTTTTTGGGCACTTCCCCAAAAGTTTCATGCAATTCAACAAAAACGTATAAGTTACTCCACAAAAGACACTCTAAGGTTAGAAGGATGATCCCATAGAGTGTTCACTCTCTGTAGATATTTCATTAATGATGGACATATTATACTCTGACTTGTACTATTTATTTGTCCCCAAATTCTATAGAGTAGGGTCATAAACTAGGGAAATGGGCCAAACATAGTCTTCAGGAGAATTTTTGTTTTGTCTCCCCAGCTTTTCAAAAGACATTTGAATTATTTACCAATATTTTTTAAACTAAGAGATCTCTCACATACAAACACACACACACTCACACTCACACACTAGTTTGGGCGTAATGCCTAGAACGTAGTGGTAGTTACCTATTAGATAAGGAGCTCAAAAACTCACCATAATCTTAACAGCTTTTTCACACTCAACCGCCTCCCTTAATTAAGGAACCAGGCTGGCTCATGCACATATTTCAGTTTGGAAAGCCAACCTAATTGTCCCATAGAACTGATATTTACAGGGTTTTTTTTCCCAATAATAAATGTAGAAAGCATACTTCCCTGGTCTGAAAACCTGAAACTTCCATTTGTCTCATTTGAGTTCTATCCTCAGGAAACTGACCTTCAAGAAAGGAACTGGAACTCACATTAATGCATCCAGACAATGAGATGCCCGATACCTCACCCATCTTGATTGCTTCTTTACCCCTCCTTAATTCTTGTCTTCCCACCTTCCCTGCTATATAAACTCCTCGATTTTAGTCCACTGGAGAGAAAGATGAGAGATTGAGTCTCCTGTTCTCCTTGGCTGCAGCACCAGACTAAAGCCTTCTTCCCTGGCAATACTTTTTGACTCAGTTATTGGCTTTCTATTCTGTGAACAGCAAGACCTAGACCAAAACCCCTGGCTTTTTAGTAACTTTTGCAACCTGTGCTATAAAGAGGAAACAAAATGCCATAGGAATACAGAGAATCAACAGCCAAGTGGTGGGCAGAAAAAAAAAAGGGGGCCATCTCATGGAAGAGCAGCACATGAGAAAGACATTGACAGACAAGCAAGATTTTATAGGTAGAAATGATGGAAA